AAAAAAAAAGACTCGGGTTAAGATCCAAACCTTGGGCCCTAGATCCGATCCACTAATTAACAGTCCGCTGAAATTTTGGTTTATCCGTACGAGTATGGAAGCTTTGATTTGTAACAAATTAAGGGTTGTTTACTGCACAAATGGCGACCATTTCATCTCCCGTTATTGCTACAAAACTCAATCTTACACCTACTGCGAGATTTGCTGCTGTGTTCTCTTCGTCCAGCTCAGTGTTCTTTGGCGACAATGTTAATAACCGGGCTGGCCTTCACCTGGTCGTGAATCGGTCCAGAAGAGCCAGTACGAGTGAGAAAAGGGGGCTTTCGTGTAACTGCCTTTTTGGGCTCGGAGTGCCGGAGCTTGTGGTAATTGCCGGAGTGGTTGCGCTGGTTTTCGGGCCCAAAAAGTTGCCCGAAGTTGGCCGGAGTATTGGCAAGACTGTTAAGAGCTTCCAGCAGGTATGGTTTTTCTATTTCTTTTACTTTTATCAATCTTCTGATTAATATGAATGATCTGAAATTTTATCAATATTGTTTTCATTATTATAAGAATGATCCCAACTTTTTCGATTTTATCTTGTTTAGTTTTGTAGTTAGCCAAATATGAGTACGTTGTTAAGTACCTGGACTCTGAATACTGGGGATTTCGTAAACTTTGTGAAAATTTTTGTTGTTGATTAATCATGGAAAAGACTGTTTCAACCTTCTAGAATTTGGTGTGGTATTGTTAAATGAAAATGCAGAAACTGAAATGAACTAATGTTTTCTGGAAATATTATGTGAAATCAAAGTTATGTTATGGTTGTAAGAAACACAAAAATGGAGAACAATTTGGGGCTACGTAGAGAATCAATAAACTGGTGGAGGCAGCATAAAATCTTAATCTGGCTTTTCTTTAACTAGGGATGCTTCAAACTTTGACATAAAAAACGATGAAACCAAGGGTTGCACTAAGGTTAAGAACTGCATCATGCTCATGCAGTTCAAATGACTTCAAGTTTTTGAAGGATTGGCAGCTAGCTGGATAAATTTGGGATCTGCCAACAAACAAATGACAAGTAGGACTTTTTTGGTGGGGCCCAAAACATTCTTATGCATCTGTTAGATTGGACAAAATTGGCATGAATAGCATTTCCTAGATGTTAATCTTTTCAAAGCAATTTTTCGTAAGCACAATTAAGAGATTCACAAGAGATTGACTTGAAACTACTTACCTAGAGTGAACACTTTTCTTTTCCAATGTTATAACAAAATTTCAAGAAAACCTGATAAGAAACATTTCTTTTTGCTTTGATAAGATGACACAATTTGTGCTTCAAGTCTCCAACGAGATGTACATTCATTCTACGGGAACGTCAAATAGGATTTCCTATTTTGAAACAATTATTCCTTTCCCTCGAACTAAAGGATGTCTCTTTCTGCTCATTTTTAGTCTCACTCAATAAACCTTCACTGCTAATACTCCTAGCCATTTATTATTGCCAATAGTTTTTTATTACTAATCCCTTCTATCTGTTGAGGATTTTTAATTTTCATTAATATTTTAGATATAGGTGTTTTCTTATGAAAATGAAAACCTTGTTTTTTAATGATTTTTTTTTATATATAAATGTGTTACTTCCTTTATAATATCTGGATTAGTTCCTTATTCCAATAGCTAAGCAATAAAAGATTGAAAAACTGCCTTATTGTTGCACATCGTAGCTGAGTGGGAGGAGTGAGTCGAAGGAGGTTGGACAGTTGGGGAGTGGGAATGGGAATGGGTGCCTAACAATGGAAATGCGAGTTTTTTTGTAACTTGTTTAATAATTAGCCCTTGTGTGAAATTGATTATTTTAAAATCACTTTTCCCCCATATTCATTTTCAATCACACATTTTTTAAAAAATAAATAAATAAATAAAATAAATCATTTTCACATCTCCCCATAACGTACCCCTACTTTTTTACCACACATTCTAAAAAAAAAAATAAAAAAAAATAGCTTTTTTGCAAACCTACTTTTTAAATAATCACTTTCAGACCAGCACTTAGTTTTTTGATTTCTTTGAATGTATGGGAAACTTCGACTTTTCACCAAATATAATGCCTGTATTTGATGATTGTATAAAAGAACCTTGTTACTGCGGAAAATGAAGGGTGAGTAGCCATATGCCTAAAAGATTAGAATGGGGGGACCCCAGTACAAATGATCTTATAGGACTGGACTGTGGTTGCAACTCCCCCTCTTGTTTTTGATCTATTCTTCCTCTGTGTTTCTTTCTCCTCCCATGCCACAGGCCAATTTTTATCTACTTCTTTTCCAATAAAAAATTATGTGCATGTTTGGGATTGCTGCGAAAAAATAGCTCCTCATAAGAAACTTTTAAGCACCCACAAACATGCTTGTTTCTTATGTAGGGACTATTAGAACTTCGAAGATGAGATATACAAGTATTTGGTTTATATTTGATACTCGTCAACAATTGATATTGGCGGTGTTTTTTATGTGGAGGGAAAGAAGGGAACACGAGAAATTGAGAGAAAATGCAAGTGTGGAAATTAGAAGAGAAGGGAGAAATACATTTTTTCTTTGTTTGATTTTCAAGAGAAATGAGAAGAAAATTAGAAGAGAGATAATTTGTGGGACCAAGAGGAACTTTCTGATAGGTATCTCTTTCTCATACTTAAAAAATGTCCATTTTCCCCTCAAATAAACAACTATTGGTTTAAGATAAATATCAGTATATAATGTTTTGCATTCTTTTTTATTCGTTTCCCAAATTAGACAGGCAAAGTAAATTTGTTCATTTTCCATGAACATTGTTGTTTAGGTAGCATGGAATTGAAATGAGAAATGCAACAGTGAGCAAACCTCTAACCAAAAGTAGGGCACGAAACTTTGGGAAAATATCTCAAGAAAATTATGTTTTGATATTTGTTATAATTATTTTCGATATTCCGGTTAAGGCAGTCTACTTAGTATCGATTATGCAACAGTAAAGTTAAAATTTTAATGCAATTTATTTTGCAACATACTCAAAAAAGGGGGGGGGGGGTTGCTTGCTCTTTAAAGGTGCCAAATTCTTCTCCTGCTACATAATGCATTATAATTTGTTCAACTTATTATCATGGACTTTTCTCAATAGAAAACGGAGATTGCCATTAATATACTTGTTAAATCTATAATTTTTGTTTGGAAAGATTGAGTTGACTGTAAAATTAATAGTTAGAATAGAAATCGTAATGATTTATGAATACTAACCAAATTTTATTCTTGCTTCTGTTAATTCTTTGTGGTGTGAAGAACTGCAAGTTGAAGGAAAAAGTTTGCTAACATGATTGTTGAATTGTCAATTGCTTTTGTCATTTTCGTCTTGATGCCCAGTTCTTTCTTTTTAACTACTTTTCTTTAATGTCAAAGGTTTTTATTTATTTTCTTCCCATAATATATTCAATGGACATCATTCTATTTTCTTTATATTTTTTAAATTCCTTCATCTTGTTTGTAATCAATACATTAGTAAATTTATATGTATCATTTGAAACATAACTGAAGTCATAACATTAGTAAAGTTTTCTCCGAGTATCCTTTAAGTTCCCCTTTGAATTTTCCCAAAGTTTCTGAATTCTATTAAAAGATGAAAAGATAGTAAGTTTTTTCATGTTTCTAAAATAGTTTATATAAAGTTTCTATGAAGTTTCAATTTTTGAAACATCGCCAACGAGGAAATGCTAGCCTTTTAGAAGTACTCGAGGTACATGGATTATCGTCTTAACAGAAATCTCCAAGCTTATCTTAACTGTTAGTGATTCTGCTTCTTCTTTTTTTCAAGAAATTATGTGCTGTTCTGTTGTATTCTTATTTTCTGATCAAAGAAGTTATGAAAGGGGATGATGGATAAATTATAGAAAGTGTGCAACTCGTAAAGTCACTGATATGGTATAAATGTATGCTCCTTCACTGATATGGTATAAATGTATGCTCCTTTGATTGCTCTAAATCGTGATTCCTTTGTTCATTTTCTGCATATCACAGGGACAATGGGCTACAAACTCATCAATTTTTGGGCTTCTAAGTGTCCAACTTCTTTATATATGCCTTTCATATGGGTAGAGTATATATCTCATTTCTTCCTATAACACACATAATCATCTAAACTAAGGAGTTTTTATCTTTAACGTTCAATAAGCTTGTCAGTTTTCCTTTATATTCTCTTAGGAAAAATATGAACTGCTAGCTTGGAATTTTGCCTGTGTGCGCATTTCGATCTTACTCTATGCATATAGAATATCAACAGACAGAATGACTCCAGGTATTGACGCATCTCTGTTGCAGGCTGCACAAGAACTACAGTCGGAACTGAAGAAGGATACTGAGTCTTTGGAGGAGCCTCCTGCTGAGAAGATAACAACAGTCAGTGAAGAAGAGAAACCAGGGGCTAAAGTCTCGAGCACGAAGGAGAACTCTCAAGTTTGAGACATGCTAACGTAATCGGTTCTCGTTGTAGCTCCTGCCTTCTTTCATCGTGTGTACGATTCATCCATTTCGATATTAGTTGTATACGAATTATTATCATTGATGGATTGTTCAATTAATTATAAGAGGATTAGAAAGTCTGCTGTTCTCATACTGCATCACATTTATTCAGGAGTTATTCAAATTTTGGAACCGAGAAATAAAGGGAAAAAAAAAACTTTGCTTGTCAACGTTACAACGATAAAATCATTTCCATGACGAATTTCTGTATATACACCAATAGAAGTTGGTGAGGGCTTTTCTGTCAAGATCTTCAACATAAACTTACTGGTGTCCTGGCCCACCACGGATTCGCTTCTCCAGATGTTCCAAGCTAGCCACTTGCTGCACAGAAACTGTTCTTCCCACCTCGTCCTCCCTGGCTTGTTCTGTTGCTGAATTCTGATTTATGTTATCAACCGGGGGAATATTTACCAAACTGTTTTGCATCATATGGTCGTTTGTTGATATGTGATTATTAGGAGCTTGATAATAATGCTGGTTTGGGACATCTTGTACTGGTACACCAGCATCTGCTAATGTATCAGAACTAACACCAAAAGACGGCAAACCCATCGTGGATAATTCAGACATTGCTTGGAAAAGCGGGTTCAATCCGGTAACCCTTTTAACAGTTTCTTCTGCCATTTTCACCTGTTAAAGAAAGCAGGATCATCAATTAAACTTGGATACTAGACTCGAATTGTACAGATCCGCAAACCCAAGTCATACAATAAAAATGTAACATGATAATAATATACAGAGAAGTAAAATGTGCATTGGTACCCATGGTTATGGACCCAAATCTGACGTAAACAGAACGGAAAAGTTCAAGAGCAGGATTTCCTACCTCTTAGTTATTTCTATTTCATGAGAAAATGCAGTAGTTTTTCTAACTCAAACCCTCCTTTCCCAAAAAAAGATTCACAAGGATAAAACTACAGAACACTTGGTTTACTCACCTTTGCTCTCAGTGTCTCAACATCAGCTTTCAGAACTCTATTATCAACGGCTGCTTCACTGTACTTATGGTTTATGTGAGAGAAGCGCTTTTGTAAAGAAGAGTTTTCCCCGTTTAGTTGAGAGACCTAGGAAGAAGCACAAGCAAAACAATGACAACAATAGCCCAGAAAATAATAAATGAAGATGGCGAGAGTAGAATATATACCTGTGTTTCGATCTCAGACAAATGTGCTTGCTTTCTTCTTCTCGAGCGTCTAGCAGATTCTCTATTTGAAACCATTCTGAAAAAAATAATGAACTATAAGAGGACTGAACTTATTTTGCCACATTATCTCAAAATTAATACGAAACAATTGCATTGAAATATGAAAAAAATAAATGATGTACAACATATTGTAAAACATAGATAACAAGGTGAAGTAATTAGCGGTTAATAATTACTGAAGCCAGTCTATTTGTCAATTTATTGTTCACTGGTACGCATACTTTTATACTCTCATAATTGACAGATCATTATTTAAGATTAGAATATCCAACATAATTAATGAGTTCTATTAAAAAGAAAAGCAGCCTTCCCATGCTTGAAAAAGAAAAAGAAAAATTGACACAAGCCTGCATGTTGTTATGCGCCTCTCACAAGATATGAAATATTTCAAACAAGAACTTTGGATGTTATTGAAATATTTGTACTCCAAGCAATACAGTATAAGTATTTCATACATTTCCCCATTTATGCTTTTCTCAAAGAAAAAAATAACATTTTATTACGATATCTAAACCATATGATAGGATTTATAGTGGTGGCTCCTTTTTTCCAATGTTGATATTTCTTACTGTGAATCTTTCCATTCTAACCAACAATAAATGTTAAAATTCAAAATTCTGGATTGGCTAGGTGGTCTCGAAAACCAATTGGCTGAGTGGCTTGTGCTGAAAATTTGTTTGCATCGGAGAAAGTGATCACAAGAAAATTGTTAATTCAGACCCGTTTGTATTAGCAGAAACTTACATACGATAAAAAGGATGTTCAAGTGGATTATGTCACCAAACTTAAAATTAACAGGTCAAACATCTGTTTTTTCAGCAAATTTGGACATCCCAACCCCCCACCTATCCTCATGGAGAAAAAATAAATAAATAAATAAATAAAGGGAGTTCACATATAATATTGTAAGGAGGTGATGAGGTAAAATTAGTGAAATACATGAACCATAATCAATATAATGTTTTTCAATTTTTTCCCTATAACTTCATTTCTTCTGTCTATAAATCTATTTATATATATTCTCTTCATAGAATCAAAAATCTGTTGATATAATCCGTTGTCTCAAAGATTGAATTTCTCTGATCCGTGTGATATCCATATAGATTTTTGCATACAAATTGCTTTAGCAATTCTTTCATATTGTACTCATCTAATAGGATAGACAAATAAAAGTTAAGCTGTTGATACCTCCTCATGCGTTTTGCATCTGTAGGATCCATATTCTCAGTTGTTTCTGCGTCTTCCTCAGCTTCATCATCATCTGACTGGTCCCCAGATGATCCACTTGTTATTGACTTCATCTGTGTCACAGGTTTTCTTGGCATTGCAGGCAGGGAAGGTACACCAATTGGTACACTAGTGTCCTTATCTTGGTCTTTTGATAAACCCGGTCCAGCTGTTAAAGAGGAAATACAAGACCCAAACGAAAAACAATGTTAGAAACAGTTTTTAACCTTCGACAGTATTTTATATACTAAGCCATAGTCATTTAGGCCTTGCCTTGTAATGAATTCCTTGGTGGCCAATATACCAAAAACATGATCCCATGATGTTTGTACTGATTTATATTACTGTTTTACTTGTCAAAAGTGAAGATGTATAATAGGAAAGTGCTTCAATCAAAAGGACTTCTAGATGACTTAACTTTCTAATATGAAGCCTGAATGTATAAATTGAAAGATAATCATTAGTAGATATGAAGAAATGAAGAAGTCAAGAGACTTTGGTTGTCAACATTGCATATCAGGAAAGGGGAGAAAAGGTGAATCGTGATGTCTGTGAGTCTTTTGCCAAGTTTAACAAAACATATCATCATTGTTAACTGACGAAACTTGAAGGTCTCATATAAGAGGATGTAACATCCAACTCTGCTAGTAAAATAATCCAAAGACACGTTCACCAAATATATCCAGGAATAAAAAATAAATGAGGTGATCGAGATGAACAAAGAGAAAGCCAACCTACAGGTTTGTAGAAAAATGAACAGAAAGAGCATAAAAAATTAACCTTGAGTGGAGAAAAAGCCAAATAATTTATCAATTCACAGTATGATTAAGAAAAATCATATTGCAACAACAATGGCACAACGTTCATATAGTTCTTAGCATATCATAGGTTTGACCACCTAAGGACTTCACTACTCTCGGGATCCAAGATACATCTTTCGAGCCCAATTTTACACCCAAAGCTTATGTTATTAGACCTTGGGTTCAGCCACATATATAAGCTCACTTTTATCTTTTAATTTTCCATGTGAAACAATTGCAGTCACATGTGTAACTCCACAGTTTACGCTCTTAGTTTGAATAAGCTCATCGTACCTTTAGCTGAATACAATGTAACTCTTAGTGGAATATATCATTCAACAATAGGTCTGCTTAATGCAAGAAAATCATGCAAAGAACTTAAAAAGGTATTTAAAGCATAAGGATGAAGTCTCATTTAAATAGTAATGTCCCTAGCTTGCGCCCTATTTGAGACTTCCCAAACTGTATAAGTTGCTTCCAAAGCATAGGGCTTTCTGGATGTAGATGATGATATCTATACAGATGATAAAGCACAAAAGAAAAGAGGAATTGGTATCAACATTTCTTTATTTGTAAGGCTAGATATTGACTTATAGGGAATTGCTGAAGAAATGTTTCATCACTTGAGTTTTGGAAGGAAACAAATTAGAGTCAATAACAGGAAAGAATAAACAAAAATTTAATAAGAGAAAACACAAACTTTTCCTTCTTTGCCCAAAAGACAAAATATTAAGTATCAGAAATATAGCTATTTCACTTGCAATTAAGTTTATATAAAAATCTGCATTATTCATGAAAAAACCATTTAACCTTTCGCGAATAGGTCTGTACAGAACTCTTACTAATGTTAGAAGAAGGGAGAAAATTAGAATCTGCTACCAAATTGAAACTAAAGACGAGGTTTCAAGGTGACAACATTGATTTTAATGTGACTAGTACACGTGAAGAGGAAAAATAGGCTGGAATTTGAACAGCAATGAGATTCAATTGGGGCAAGTCTGAATTATGATCTCCATTTATGATTGTAAGCAAAATAGTGGACAACTGGTGGCAGTTGAGTGCCTGTTACTTTCCTTTCCACTTTCTCGTTTTTCAATAACACAAGATTTTAATGAAAAAGAAATATTTCGACCTCTTCGCTGCTAGCCAAAAGTACATAAATGGGAGAAATGATCCATTTAGTTCAAGGATACAGCCAGCAACATTTTGGTATATTCACATACACATTTATAATATCAAATGTATTGCTATACTCACATTTTTCCTCAAATGAAAATGATTCAAATTAAATAAGACGCGGAGTGCTAACCTTCCTGAGGAACCTGAGACCCCGGCTGCAATGAATTAGAGGCCTGTGTCCCGTTATCAGTAGTCCCAACTGCTGAATCTTGATCCTTTACATTAGCTGCCTGCATTGCTCAATTCACAATGAAGAGTTCACTTGCATACATGTTTTAGTATACAGAAAGTGAAAAAATATGAACCAAAAAGAAAACCATATGTAAAATCGGGAAAGCTACAACTAATATGACACAACGTACAAACCACAAAATTTTATGATGAGCTCAAACTAATTCCAAAAAATCACATCGCAAACTCCAAAGTTCTGTTTTTTGGGTAAAAAATAGGAAATTGAAGAATTGCATGATAAAAAATAGAAAGATATACCCGGGTAAACGCGACGGCTGCACAAGCCAACTCGAGTTGGCTTTTAAGGAAGGCCTGGTAATCATCAAAATTCACCGGAATAGCAGGCTGTAAAGAACCCTCAGCCACCGCCGCCGCCATCTCCCGATGCTGATGCTGACTATCGTCTTCGATCTCCACAACATCGGCGTTTTGGGGATGCATCGATGTTGCCGGGGAATGATCAGGTGCGGCGGCTTCCTGTAGGAAGCGCTGAAATGCCCATTCTGATGAGTTCCGGTTCATCTTCATCGCGTTCGATGAGGACGAGGGAGCAGTGGCGGAGGATGATGAGTGCTCCTCCTCATCATTCTCTTCCAAATCCTGCGGAATCGACGGCGGCTGCGGCGACCAGAACTGGTCCATGATCTCACCCATTGAGAACACCCTATCCATCTCTCTGAGTTTTCTTCTACCTACCTTAAACTCGTAAAAAAAGACCTTGTGCTGAAATTTGCTGGATTATATTGATTTTGAGTGGGCTGATTTGATTTGAGAATTCTTAAAAACATCCATAAAATTCGCCAAATGATGCTGAAATTGTCTGAATTTTCTTCAAATGTAAACGAGATATAAGGTGACTCATGCTACCTTTTTTTTTTTTTTTTTAATTATTTAAGTGTTACTTGCGATTAAGATAAGAATTGAGAATTTAAGATGAAACTGATTTCGTGAAAGAATTATGCCATTTGTGTGTCACTTTTTTTACAGTACGCTTGACGTCATTCATGTTGTCAAGAATTAATTAGAACATGTTTGTTCATGAAATATAATTTTTTAGAAAACATGCTTTTAAAAAATAAAAAATATTTTAAATTTACGTGTAAAATTATTTTATTATAGGAATATATAGTTGCAAATGAATTCCAGTAGAAATAAAATTTAAAAAATGGGGCCCACAAGGGTTGAATATCTTTTTATTGAGGATAATTTGTGCAAAACGGTCTAATCGTTTGTTCTATTGTTTAAATCTTTCATCGTTTTAATTGACATTTGGACCATCAAATAAATTTTTTTTTTGCGTGAATGTTGGTTATCATTCATTTAACAGTACGCTTGACGTCATTCATGTTGTCAAGAATTAATTAGAACATGTTTGTTCATGAAATATAATTTTTTAGAAAACATGCTGTTAAAAAATAAAAAATATTTTAAATTTACTTGTAAAATTATTTTATTATAGGAATATATAGTTGCAAATGAATTCCAGTAGAAATAAAATTTAAAAAATGGGGCCCACAAGGGTTGAATATCTTTTTATTAAGGATAATTTGTGCAAAACGGTCTAATCGTTTGTTCTATTGTTTAAATCTTTCATCGTTTTAATTGACATTTGGACCTTCAAATAAATTTTTTTTTGCGTGAATGTTGGTTATCATTCATTTTCTCCACCAAATCCTATCAATGACAAAACGGTCTAATCGTTTGTTCTATTGTTTAAATCTTTCATCGTTTTAATTGACATTTGGACCTTCAAATAAATTTTTTTTTGCGTGAATGTTGGTTATCATTCATTTTCTCCACCAAATCCTATCAATGACAAAACGGTCTAATCGTTTGTTCTATTGTTTAAATCTTTCATCGTTTTAATTGACATTTGGACCATCAAATAAATTTTTTTTTTTTGCGTGAATGTTGGTTATCATTCATTTACTCCACCAAATCCTATCAATGACAAAACGGTCTAATCGTTTGTTCTATTGTTTAAATCTTTCATCGTTTTAATTGACATTTGGACCTTCAAATAAATATTTTTTTTGCGTGAATGTTGGTTATCATTCATTTTCTCCACCAAATCCTATCAATGACAAAACGGTCTAATCGTTTGTTCTATTGTTTAAATCTTTCATCGTTTTAATTGACATTTGGACCATCAAATAAATTTTTTTTTTTTGCGTGAATGTTGGTTATCATTCATTTACTCCACCAAATCCTATCAATAACGAATATATCATTATTTTTAAATAAAGAAAAAGAAAGAAATGAACAGTATGGATATTTCACACAAAGAAAAAGTCAATCAAAGTGTTAAATTTTAGAATTAAATGAATAACAATGATTTGTATGAACATTTTGTGTCAATTACTCTTTTATCAAAAGTTCAATTATAAAATAATTGATTTTGACTATAAACTATAAAAGTAATTTATGCACAGAAATTATATAAAACCTATAGAAGTAATAATTTCGACTACCAATTAGCAATTTAGCATCGTGCACCTATCGAAATAAACTAAAATTGCAGTTGAGTCAAGATACATATTTGAAGTAAAAAAAATAAAATAAAAATAAATGTATCCAAAAGTAGATTAAAAATGTTAAAGTAACTATCTAGACTTCTTTAATATTGGGTTTGTTGGTTTCTTTTTTCAAGCGATCGAATCTTTCATTCTCTTCACATTTTTATACTTTCGTATTTAGGGTAACTTCTGGTCTTACTCGAAAGTCATATAACCGAATTTGTAAGGTAAAATTGTTCCCACATATTATATACGATGATTTGAAATATAGTCGTATATACTTGATTTGAATTTACATCTTTTTAAATTTTATATCCAAAATATTTTGTCACAATATATCAAGTTTGAACTTCCTATAAAACAATTATATAAATCAATTAAAGGAAATGAGTGAGGTAGTCTCAGCTTTGCTGACAACCGCAGTGTGAGGGTTCGATTCCTAAGATATGAAATTGGACTCTTTGTGAGTATCAGTGTACGGTCAAACTCTTATTCCCTGATCTGTTGGGGCACATCCCGTAATTTACTTCCCTCACGATGCTCTAGAGACGGGGTGGTGGAGACCCTTAAGGTTGGGGTTCAACCTTTTATTATATAAATCATTAAATACATATAACTTAATTGCACGACAAGAGATCATTAATTATGGTTTAATAGCGGGTAGCATTTTTGCTGCCCACTGAAGACGGGAGATTAGGCATGTAAGATATAAGCATTGTATTAGTGAATATAACTTCATGGTAGAAGTGAAACAAGACCACTTATAGATTTTGCCAAATGGAGGCTAACTTACGATGGCATTGAAAGAGATCTTTCCAAAAATAGTACTTTCGAAAGTAATAAAGAACGGTGTCAAAAAATTTCATGGAGCCCATCGACACAGCCAATTTGTTCAATTCAACAATCAGACTAAAAATGTTAGATCTAGATTAGTGAAAGTATATTCCATGCATTTCATTGTGCTTAAAGAGTTGAATGTATTTAAAGAACTAGGAAGACCGGATACGTAGAGCTTCAGATTCAATATAAAAATTGGTAGATTTCAAAATCGAAATGCATCGTATGACTTGACAATATTGCAATCCTAATAGGAGCACATTTGTATCCATCAATGATTTTTCAAGAAGATGAAGATGAAGATGTCCTTCCCGACATTTTTTCAAATGCCATGCTACGGATGTAAAATTGTAATTATTTTTCACTTTTTAATAGTTATTCTATTTCAAGCCTGAAAAAATGATGAAGCCTTTTACAAATTTATAATTTCTTATGTTTTCTTACTAATTTATGTCTTCATTATACTTTTAGTAATATGCAATTATCAACATAGAAGGAAAAAAATGAAGCGATCAAGAGACGAGGTAGCGGGGCAAGCCGAGCCCATGTTTCTTGAGCAATCTAGCTCGCACTCAGCTCGAGTAGTTCAACTCACCCCATTTATAGCCCCTAATTAAACCCATGTTTGAACCATATTCTTCATATCTCCATTTTTTCAAGCTCATTTTCAATTTCACATTCTTTCAATGGAATAATTTTGCATGTAAATTCAAAATTTTTCCTACCTTTAATTACACATTCTTCAAAAAATCATTTTATACTATATTTTCAAAAATGGGGTTTAAACAAGAGCTAAAACTATCATACTTTTCTCCAAAAAAACTTAAAAATTCCACATTCTACAATTTTTTTCCCCAAAAAAATCACTTTATTCATTAAAAATCAATATTCTATTCCATTGAAAGGAGAATATCTAGAGAATCCAACTTACCATTACATCCCAGTTTATCTAAATACTCCCAAAAGAAAATTACCGAAACAAGTGCTGCAAATTAAATTTGTACCAACTACGCGAGAACATTTATTGTCCAATCTTCGATTTCTTCATTGGAGGCTTTGCAGATATTTCATTGTCTTCTTCTGAAGAGAAGTCTTCAGGTTCATCAGGAACTTCAGTTGGAATATTATGTTTTGTTATGAAATCCTTCAGTATGCTCATGCTCTGCTCCTTCACTGAAACCAGTTGCTCAGAAAGAACCCCGTTGACTGCCTGAACATAGAATGTCTCTGAGCCAAGTTGAATGGTGGCTCTAGCGCGTGGATAGTCAGATACGGCATCTGTTAGCTGAGCTTCCATAATGCAACATTTTTGCCACACCTTCATCTTGGAAATCTTTAATCAAATCGTGGTCATATTTAAACTTGTGTCAAATCACACACCGACTGTTAGTCGTAGAACTCAAACCACGCAGTCCAGTATGACCTGGGCCACCTGGCTCTATAAAAACATAGGCAGTAATAGTATGCTGTTAACCCTAACATTGTTCAGATCACTGGAACGTCTTAGGGGAAAAAAATTGGTAGGAATGATGGGGACAAATTAAGTATATGTCTCTTAACCTAAGATCATGTTTTTGCCTTCCTAAAGATAAATAGTTTCAGATATATTTAATAGCACTGAAAATTTATGAATTTGGAAGATCCAATTCACTTTCACAAGTGGTATAACGTCCTTTAATTTGAGTGAAAATAATAGAGAGGTTCCCAACCCATTTGCGTTGTAATAAGCCGTTCCCTAACTGTTCAAGTTTGGGGTAAGCGGGTCCATAGTAGGCAGTTTCTCTCCATTTAACCGTCAAAAGGACAGTTATACCTAAATTTTCAATCAAAATTAAAAAGTATACAAGGATAAATAAGAAATACGAAAAAATAACTATTTTTTGTCCCACTCACATATGTAGCCACCAGATTCCCAGCCCAAATTCCAGGTGGGGGTTAGGGGCGGAACGAGGGACCAAAAATTCAACCTAATATGAATATCTTTCAAACGTATCCTCATCTTTCACATATTTTCGAATGACGGTCCATTCCTTTCCAGGAATGAGATATCGAATGAAAGAACGAAAATATCGTCCATACTGGATTCACTAATGTGGGACATGTTCCTCTTATTGATGGACGAATAGGAATTTCCTCTTTCTTCTTTTGGTCCATCCGAAAGTGAGCCTTGATTGCATAAGCAAACTAGAGGACAAAACCAAGGGAGGAGGGGAAGCTACTAGCTTCTGGTTGGAAGGGAAGAGTTGGAGAAGGTAAATGGGGGCAGGAGTGACTATCAGGGATTGGAGGTGGAGGGGAAGGAAACATGTTTGCTTCTTCTTTATTTCTCAAGTCTTCTTTGAATGAAAACCTGAAGGCTGTCCAGCAATAAATGGAACGGCAGGAAAAAAATAAGGTTAGAAAAGAAGAAAAGACAAGAAAAATAGAAGACCATGCAAGATAAACAGCCTACGAATCTAATGATGAATGCAACGGAACTATCACTAAAATAAATTAAAGAAGAAGAAAAGGAGGCCGAGTGAGAG